ATCAAAGCAAACCTTTCCTAGAATGCACATCCAATAATTTTACCCCCATTAGGGGTCACCACAGCAAATCATCACACTGACAGTTCGCATGTTGAAAGTTGGCATGTTTTATGCCAGATACCCTTCCTCACGCAACCCTGAATTGAACCCAGGCCACAGTGACGAAAGTGTTGAATCCTAGCCACTAGTCCAACAGGGACCCCAATTTTACAGACACCAGTACAGGGTCACCCAGGTGACTAAGAGCCGCTACGAAATGGGGTCTGAATATTTTCTCAAGCCACTGTTTTTGTTCTGTGTGAACTTTGCAATATCTGGGTGATGATAAAAAGACTTAAATGCCTCCTTTCTTCATAAACTTGACCTGAGACACAGCATTCGAGGGTGCATTTCTCCCACAGATGCACTCTCTGTGACTGCTATCAGTTAGTCCCTGATGGCTAATAACTTCCTTTAAATCTGTACACCTCAAAGGATGACAAAAACTGATATGGAGTCCAAATTTAGTGACCAAAATCTTTTTAATACATAAGCTTTAATGAAACTGACGTCAGTGTCATTATAGCCATCTCTTCCCCCACAGTTGCTTCATTGCCATTAAGATTTGCCTTTTATATCACAAAGGAAGTTGCAACAATAGAACTATGGCTCTTGTCGACATCAAAGTGATCTTACTCTTGGTTGAAGAGCAGCCCTGCCTCTGACGAACACTTCCAGCAAAACAAAAATGTCAGTGTGTTAAAAATGATGCAAAGCAAAATTATGTTTATATTTCACTCTAGAACCTCATAGAGTAATAATGATTCATCAAGATCCTTTCATCAAAAACTAAAGACTGCCTCTGCTTTCATAAAGTAATACAATCAGGAAGAATAGGGGAATAAAACATCCCATGTATTTTTTTTTTTAATTAAATAACACCTCTGTGACTACACATATTAGTACTAATGTTGCAGTCACACCTTCAGATCAGCACAAAAGCCTAGTGCCACTCACACAGTGTTTTTTTTTGTTCACACCCCAGGAGGATGCAAGACAAAAAGCACTCATGACATAGATGAAAAACACTTGACTGAAGCAGTGATCAACATCCGGACTTAAAGAGTCCTCTCTCTCTCTCTCACACACACATAAACAAGCATGTTGCTCACTCTACCCACGTACTGGGAGCGTTGCCTCATTTCCTTGGAATTGGCTGTTATCTAATTGACACTTCAGTGAGCATTAGTGCAGAGTGGAGACAGAATATCATATGAGAAAGTGGGACTGAAAAGGTCATCCATTCCCAGGTTTGTGTATTGCTGCCTTCAATGCATTCAAATTTTTCAGAATGATTAATTGCAATAATTCACCATAAGATTTCTTTTCATGCAACCTGTGTTTTCTTCTGGAAAATTAGGTGAACTGAATTTTACCTTACTTTTTGGCACATTTGTTTTTGCATAATTCCCTGCTCTTGATTAACAGTGTCATACAGTATAGTGCATTCAGTTGTCTGGAATTCTGTTCTGCAGCCTCTCTGCAGAGCAGGCAGACATCATGCTCTTCAAATTATGGTTGAAACCTGATTAGTGGAGGCATTGTAAGTACATACTGTGGTATGTAAAAATCATAAGTAAAGGTATTATTTTACTTAATTTAAGAAATAAGTAAATAAAGAAAAAAATACATAGATACTGTATATTTCCCCACTTTGGCGATATACAGTATATACATATATATATCTCATGTGTTGTTGCTGGCAAAACAAACTACAATCTAGAAGCAGCTGCAAAATTAACCCAAAAAATTAGTGCAGACAGCACTTGGAAAAGTGGAAATGGATATTTCAGTATTATTTTTAAACATACTTCTGCACTTGATAGTGGGAAATATCATACATACCTCAGGATATTCTCTCTCTCTGTGCGGCATTTCTTTCAGGCCACGGTGATTGTTTGTTACATGGACACTGCACTAACCCTTCCACAGTGAAAAGCAGTTACCACAGCTGCATGTCTGTTCCCAGAAAAACCATTAGGGAAACAGCATGGGCTTTTCAAACTGGAGCGGGCAGGCTGACTCACTAACACAAGACCAATGAAATCCTACAACAGCACTTGGACCTTGTTAGCCTCACAAATGAAGAGAAAGAATGTGAAACGTAACCATTAACTTAATTGCACTATTGTAAATCTGTCCTCCATCTGTAAATGAAAACATAACATACAAAAGCCATTATAAACATTGGGAGAACATACAAAATACACAGAGCGAGGACCAGAACCAAGCTGTGATCCGAAGACTCAGAAATTACTGAGGTTGTCTCTCAGGTGTGTTTTCCAAATGTATGGTCTTGATGGCTAACAGCAAACTGGCTGCTTTGTATTCAGACCATGTTTTGTCCACCTTGGCTACAAAGGCTGAAAAGGTCTCTTATGACAGTTCATTTCCACTCCTTCACTCCACTGCTATCAGCAATTCCCTGTTAAACTGAATGGAACATTTACTATAGTATCTCCAGGAACACAGTGCAGAAAGAATTAAATGTTAAAGTTAATGCCAAATGTCTGCAAAGAAAGTGCAAAATCTGACTTTGTAAATGGTCAGGGAAACATGGAAATTTGTCTTACACCTTTTATTAAAAAAAAGCTGCTAATTTCTCTCTCAGCGTATTACAATCATATTTCTTAAAAGTGACAGGCAGCCCAGCATGGTGTCTGTTAAATACTGACTGTATTATACAAACATAAAGAAAAAGAAAGGTCAGAGGAGGAGGGAGAAGGAACCAGCACAGATCCTGGAGCTTTACTGAATTTTGTTAGAGCTCTCTACATCAGTGCATCAAGCTGGATTACTCTTCAAATGTTATCATTAGTTTACAATAACAAATGAATGTTTTGTATGTTGTATAATACACCATACATGTAGTGGCTTTATAGGATTGGGTCAGTTAGAATAAAAGCTTCTTGTGTGTATACAGCAAGGAAAAAGAGAAGACCAAGAGCTGACAGCTGAAGGGCTTGTCTGAGAAAATGCAAATGTTCATTACTGCAGTATTTTAGGAATTAAAAATAGATACTTTATTGATCCTAAGGGAGAATTCAGGGGAATGTCTATTAAATATTGCATAAAAGCAGTATCCAAGGCCCTGCTTTACTATGCTGCTGTGTCCCCTGTTGTATTTTCTTCCTATGATTAACTGTACTGTTTATACTAATGAACCATTCAAACTGATTCCATTTAGAAAAAGTACTACAAGTATCAATGCCACAGTGAGCTAATTTAGCAACTTTCCCCCATTCAGCTAAAACTTTGAAAACTCTGGCAGGTGAATTGAATAAGATTGATTGTGTCATTGCAGTGGCACCTGTCAAGGGGTGGGGTATATGAAGCAGCAAGTGAACAGTCATTACTTGAAGTCAATGTGCTGGAAGCAAGAAAAATAGGCAGAAGTAAGGATCTGAGCGCCTTTGACAAGGACCAAATTGTGATGGCTAGAGGGCCAGGGCATCTCCAAAATAGCAGGTCTGATTCTAGCAAGCCGGCAGAGGTAGTGTTCTGCTGGGAAACCTTAGATCCTGGCATTCATGTGGCCCCAAAGGCCCCAGACCTCAATCTGATCAAGCATCTGTTGGATGTGCTGGAAAAACAAGTCTGATCCATGGAGGCCCCACTTCACAACTTATACGACCTAAAGATAGGGTTGGCGATCCTAGAAAAACCAGCATTTTGATTTTGCTTAGGACAAGTAAACTTAGTGGTCAGGCTGCTGCCACAGACGAGTTTTTTCTTTATGTTGTCAGTGTATTTAATGTATTCATTGCCATCAGAATGAAAAGAGAAATTCAACTAATGTAATAAAATGAACTGCCAACCCTACCTGCTGCTGACATCTTGGTGTCAGTCACCAGAGGACACCTTCAGAGGTCTTGTGGAGCCCACGCCTCGACACGTCAGAGCTGTTTTGGCGGCATGAGGGGGCCCGACTCAATAAAAGCAGGTGGTTTTGTTGTGGCAGACTGGTGTATTTAATCTACAATGTTACATAAATACAACCACAGTTTTCAAAGTTAAAGGACAAAGTTTATAATTACAACTTTTATAAGAAAATCAGACTCAACATGATTTTTTCCAGTGTAGAGCAGCAATTCAAGTGCAACAGTAATTCCAGCATCGTTACATTTGTACAAGTGCATTCATGAAAATCCATACAGAAAGACATTAAAATATCTCAAGTGAAAAACAACCTAAATGAAATGACAGAACAGCAGGTAACATAAAAGACTGTGACAAAGATTGGTACTGAAATATGTACAGCATCTGTGCGATAGATCAACAAAACTGAAATGTTGGTTTCTTCTGGTTCCTCTGTACTTTTTTTTAAAAGCACTGTTAGGATATTGTTAGAAGAGCAAGTAGTATAGTTTTACAGCAATTTCCACCTAAGTCTTAGCCTTTTCCTCATTTGCAATGATGTCTTTGTAGTTACTAATGCAATTACCAGCTGAAGTGCACCTCAGATATGTACAGTAACATATGGCATATACTGCCTTTTCTAGGCAAACCTTTGATATGTTCAGTGACATGAAGCAACAGAAAAACAAGAACAGATTTATGTATACAGCATTAAAATGACCATTCCACATTAAAGAGTGATCAAGAAAATGAAATGCATCCTTTCATTACAAGAGTCAAACTTATGAAATTATATCTCATGTTGAAGGTTTAGTTATGAGAAACTGATTATTAGACCTTTCTAACGTATAGTATCTTAGTAGAATAATGTACCAATACACAATTTTATTACTACAGTCAGAGCTCATTCAAGAAACATCAGTGGTTCCTAATGTTAGTGGATTAATGTTTCTTATACTCTGTTCAAGTTTTCTAGCACCACAATAAGTAGAAAGTATTTCTAAAACGGTCAGTTCACCCATCCATATTCATTATATACACTATTTATACCAAGATTAGAAAATTATAGTTCCACAAATATATATATTATATATATATATTAAAAAAGAACTACATATCTGCATGCCTTGATACCACTGGGAGAAGTGGGAAATGCCCTATAATTATTAGATAATTTAGGTGGCCCTTTAAATTATCTTAATTTGACAGTGCTACCAAGTCCAAGTTACTATTTCTAAATATGTTATTTAGTGATTAACCTGAGGAAAACCGTGACCAAAGCACCATCACAGCAGGGATGCAGCGATACCATTTTTTCCAAGACCAAGCACAAGTACTTACATTTGAGCACCTGTCAATACCAAGTACCAATACAAGCACTTATTCTACTACAGAAATCCAAATGAAAATAAGGAGCAATAATTTGTCTTTTTATTCTTATTAGATCTCGTCCGTGCAGATTCTCAGTCATCCATCGTTTACTTTCTGATTCAATAAAATACACAACAGCAGGCTGCTGCTGACATCCGCAAATGTAACTTTCTGTGTAAACAAACATGGCACTGCCGCCATTGCAATTATGTGTAACACGGAACTGGCTGGATTTCAGTACTACACAATATAATGTAGCTAATACTGTGGTTCTTAACCTTTGTAGGAGTGCAGTTTACAATCACAATTAAGAAAAATGGTGCCTGCTCTATTATTAAACTGGCAAACTGTCTGAGGCATTGTCCTGTCTCCTGAGAACAGCAGCCTCCATGTCCACAAGAATTCAAGATTTATATAAAGAGCTCATTGTACTTGACCGCTAACCACATCAAACTAGCTGTGGTTTTAATCACAACAACTCATGGCAATAGGCATAATGAGTACTGTTTGGGTTTAGTGGAACAAGTATGAACAGGGTATTACAGTGTACGCTAATATACCTGTCTTTGAAAGTACTCTGTACGCATGGTGATGACGTACATGTGCTGCATCCTAGTAATAAACAGGTGGGAGAGGACAGGTATTGTGTGCTCCCTGGTTCAAAGCAGTTATGGTTATGTGTGTGTCATTTTTCTTCCAAAGCACTAACTCTACACCACACACTACTATTGTCATCATCACTTCTTAAAATATCTCTAAACCACTGGAATTCCTCATCCTCCACCTAAACCTTTGTTCAACCTGTGAGGTTGATGCAACGTTGCCTTTAAATGGTATCCAAAGACTTTTATGAGTACGAGTAGCAGAGGGCGGTGCTGAACCCAATACTGGTATTGGTGCATCAGCACATTATAGCCACATTGTCCTGTCTCTCACAACACTGAGGTTGAGATGTGTATACATCCTGTATAGGTGTGACAGCAGTGGCAGATCATGCTCTAAAACTCCAGCTCCTCTGAAAAGGCTGGAAAGGTTTCTTGAGGTTGAAGAACATATGACTTTTGAGTCCAGGGGTTTTCTCAGGTATGACAGCAGCTTTGCTTTCCTCAGTGGGAAATCGATTGTGATAGACTTCTGGGTACAACTTCTGGAACTGAAAAGGGAAGGATATGCATCATTACTGTGCATAATATCTAGAACAATAACTGACATTCCTCAGATTTTGAATCACTGCTGATAAACAAAATTTATTCTTCTAACTTTGCATTAATGTGTGAATTTTCTTGTGAAATACTGTATACTGTATTTTCACCTCTTTAGGTCTCTAAAAATCTTTAAACTACTTGGAAAAAAACTCCTCACTCTTTGGATAAAGTGGATTATGTAGACATTTAAAGGGTCCACTCACAAGCCAAAAAAGTCAGAAGTTGCTGCTTTAAAGGACAATAAAGTCCCAGTAAATGCTCACAGCCTATTCCTCAATAGCACTTCTGGTGTACTGTATTAGCAGTTTCTATTTTAACATGTATCCTTTCCAGATTGTGCCAGTATACCTGTTTAAGCCTTTTCCTTTTGTCCTTGGCAGGGAGTTCTTTGTCTGCAATCAGGCCCTCCAGCAGCTCCTGCAGGGGTGTCTGGGTACCTATCGCCTTCAGTTCCTCAGACCCCACCCTGCTGATCTGTTTACAAAAGGCTGGAGATGCACTGAACTCTGTATCTGAACCCGCGTATTTGATCTGATGGAAAGCACAAAGGAAATGGGTTTCCATTTGGATTAAAATATAGCATATTTCATACAGATTCATGCAAACACGTGACTGGCAAATGACAGAATAAATGTGCACAATAAACATTTTTAAAAAAGGAGGAGGGGAAGGAGAAGTAGAGACTCAGGTTAAGAACCATGGTAATAGAGTTAAAGTAAAAGAGGCTCAGCATTTGATTGGCTTTATTTTAGTAGAGGAAAAAGATTAGAATCAATACACTGAATTAATGCCCCACAGTTTTGTTTTTTGCTCTACAAACTACCACACACCAAAAGATTGGCACCAATATTGATCCTTAGAATTGGATTGACACCAGTTCATTTCCTGTATCATCATTTAAGCAAATATTATGAATCAACAATTCAAAACCAAATAAGGAAAAATACTGATGACAAGCAAATGATTGATTTTGGTGGAAACCAATACAGATCATGTGCTCAATGTGCAGGGGTGGTTATGATTTTAAAATCTTTGTATAGTCAAGATAAAATAATGTTTTTATTCCCATTCATAGCATGGGATGTGTATACTGACAGAGCCAATGTTGGACTCAAAGACAAAACCAACCAGGCCTTCACTTGTTGGCCAAACAATGTAGATGACAGATGGTCAATGCAGTCTGTGTTCTACATTTTCTGATATTCTGGCCAAAATTAAACACATGAACGCATAAATAAAAACCAACTGTGAACAGCAGATGAAAGAAAGGCTCTCTCCCACACACCCCTTCTCACTGCATGATGGCAATCAAGAGAGAGGCACAAGCTAGTCAATAATACACAATAAAATATGCCAAAGAACAGCAGTGCATCCATATAGAAGCTCAGTATATGAGTTAAATAATGTCTATCCATTATTTGGCCCCAAAGAGCGGGGTGTCAGGTCATGCTGTCATAAATCTTCAGAGCCCTACAGTAAACAGACCTAACCTACCCCTAGCACAAAGCATCCCTGGACCCTGTCCTCACCCAAGCAAAGAGCAGATACTGCATGTGGCTTGACAAACAGCATCTGCCATCTGCATTGTAGTTGCTCAGGTTGAGCAGTGGCCCAACTGGCTTGTGATGGCAGTCACCTCTGAGAGTCGGGTCCTCAGTTGTTCAGCCACTGACACTGTTCTACCAAGATTTTCTAATAAAAGAAGTCTATTAACAATTCCAGTGAGTCAGTAGCTATAGTATCACCAACACCAGTACAAGTTGTGTGTGGGTGTAGGAGTGAAGGCAAGTCTACAGGGCCATCAGGTGGGCACCCTCTCACTAACTGCTGTTTTGTTGAGTTGAGTCCACAAAATTGTAGTGATAACTGTTTCCCTGTGCCCATCTCTGTTTTGGTGCTGCAATGTGTGAGTGACCCTCTTTGTTCAGAGATAAGTATATAACATAAGCATAGAACCATTCCAATCCTGCAGCTAAGCATTACTGCCCTGCTTCTGTGAACATTTTGATCACTCCAGTCCAGTGTTTTCTGCTAAAAATTTGTGCATTCCATGCTTAAGGGAAAATAAGGCACATGCCCTGTTTTTAAAAGATGCTCATCCAATTAACACAGTTTCAGTGGAAGCAGGCTTATCCTGGAGCAGTGGGGACTACAAGAGATCACAAACTAATGTGATATCATCTAATATTTTATGGTGTTTTCCATAGCAACAGATAGAAACCAGATCCTGGAACACTGATAGTATTGTTATTAAAATCAAATTTTGATTTAATAATATTGATATTTTAACTAAACACATATACAGTGCCTATAAAATGTATTCACCCCCCTTGGATGTTTTACCCTTTTATTGAGGTTATAAATCAATCATGGTCAATATAATTTGGCTTTTTGACAAAAGAAATGACAAAAAACCTCTTTAATGTCATAGAGAAAACAGGTTTCTACAAAGTAATGTCAATTAAATAAAAATATGTAATGGGAAATAAGTGAGTTTGCCAAAAGGCATGTGGGAGACTCCATGGTCAAGTGGAAGAAAGTTCTTTGGTCTGATGAGACCAAAATGGTGCTTTCTGGCCATCAGACAAGACGCTATATTTGGTGGACACCAAATAATCCACATCACCACAAACACACCATCTCCACTGTGAAGCACGGTGGTGGCACTGTGGGGATGCTTCTCGGCAGCCAGCCCTGGAAGGCTTGTAAAGATAGAGGGTAAAATTAATGCGGCAAAATACAGAAAAATCCTGGAGGACAATCTTATTCAGTCTGCAAGAGAACTATGGCTTGGGAGAAGATTTATTTACCAGCAAGACAGTGACCTGAAGCATACAGCAAAAGCTACACACAAATGGTTTAAAGACAACACGGTGAGTGTTGTGGAGTGGCCGAGTCAAAGCCCAGACCTCAGTCCAATAGAGAATTTGTGGCTGGACTTGAAAAGGGCTGTTCGTGCCCCATCTCCACACAACCTGGCAGAGCCCGAGCAGTTTTGCAAAGAAAAATGGAGTAAAATTGCAGTGTCCAGATGTGTAAGCCTGACTGAGACACTCAGTGCTGTGACTGCAGCCAAAGGTGCATCTACTAAATACTGTCTTGAAGGGGGTGAATATTTATGCAGTCACTTATTTCCCATTACATATTTTTATTTAATTGACATTACTTTGTGGAAACCTGATTTTACATTAAAGGTTTTTTATTGTGATTTCTTTTGTCTAAAAAACCCAATTACATTGACCATGATCGATTTATAAAATCAAAAAAAGGGCAAAACATCCAAGGGGTGAATACTCTTTATAGGCACTGTACATGTTTCTATGACTAGACACTCTCATATTTACCAAGCATAAAATATGCAAGGAATTTGTCTTGGTGTATGCATCCACAAATAAAAATAACAGAATCACACTCTGTCACAAACATCATTTAAAAACTAAGACCAAGTGTTATATAATTTAACTAACAGTATTAATTTAAGATAAGAACATAAGAGCAGCTAAAATAACATTGAAAACAACTAAAACCTTAAAGTGCAAAGGGCTCACTGTTTAGCAATCAGTTAGCCCCTGGGTATGTGCTCTTCCTAAACCTTTCAGTGTGAAGACTGAGTTGCCTGAGCCTTCTCCCTGAGGGCAGTCTGAAACAGGGAGGCAGCTGGCAGAGCGACGTCACTGATAATATTCAGCACCTTCTGCTTTAGTCGAGACTGATAAATAGAGGAGACAGAAGGAAGAGACTAGCCATTAATTTTGTTGCAGTCTTGAACACTTTATCTGAGACTTTTGTTTCCCCAGAAGTCATACTAGCACCCCAAACAGTAATTGAGATGATGGGCACCGTTTGGGTGACAGCTATGTAAAACTGCACCATAGTGTTCTTCAAGGGACCAAATTTCCTGAGCTCCTCATATTTCATATAGCAAATTTAATTAATCTTGCCATAGATGCTCCCACCTCTATTCTGGGTGCAGCTCAATATCACAGATCTCAGTTTACTACAGAAGCAGATGCCATTAGGTAATTTTGTCAGATGAAACACTAAATACAAACAGACAGAGTGACAGGAGATCTCAAGCCTCGGGCCACTGCACCAAGTAGTTTTCACTTCTGTTAAATTATATGCAGCTTTAATTACTTTTAATTATACCCAGATGGCAAACTGGTGAGAGTCCAAAAAGGTGACAAATGTTTAGTTTTTAAAATACATTTTCTATTTTTTCACACCTTTGAACTCATACAGTACACAGTCTTTCCTTACCTTTTCATACAGTACTCAGTCTTTCCTTACCTTTTCTCCATACAAGTCTATGTTTACTTGTCATAGTGATGTAATAACAGTGCTGCAAAAGAAGGTACTACTTCACCCATCTGGCAGTACTTTGAGTTTTGGCCTAACGAAAGACCACAGCCAAGAGACACATCTAAAATGGTGTGCAGGATTTGTTCTTATACAATGTAAAGAAGATGCCTTACTTTGTTGGAACTACAGAAACAGTTTAGAGCTTTTTTATTTAGTGGTGTTACTGTTTCCCCACCTGCCTACAGGAAGCACACAAACCCAACAACAGCAAGTTTCATTTTGCCCATCATTAGTTTAAGTGGTGGGATTAACATTAGTTAGTGACAGCTGATATGACCCTGCTGTTTGACATTTTAACCAGAAACAGTGCCAATCAGCACTGGCTAACAACAGAAAGCTGCTACATAACGGCTAACAAGCGTGTTGGTAGAGTCACTGCTTTGCCCTAACAGCAGTTAACACAGGGTGATGCTGATGGATGTCACCACTGAAAATGTGTAAATTTATTTCCATTTTTCTATTTTGTCTTCAGGTTTTAATAGAGGTGGTGAATTTCACCGAAATTTGCATCCCTAATAAGATTAACTACCACTTTTTCACATTAAGTGACTGGCAAGATGATGGAATCAATTTGGCACATTTCTATTATTGCTGATGCACAGACATGGTTGCTTGGTACACATGGTGGGAGGGAACACTTGTAGCTGAAAATGGACACGGGTGGCAGTGATGTTAAGAGCAGCCAGAGATTAGGTGTTTCATTTGTTAACAAACCGTACTGTGAGAAAGTCTACTGACCCGAACTCGTTTCAAGTGGGACAGTTGCTCCTCAACCTGGCTATGCAGCTTGGAGGGCACTTGGAAGATGGTGTTGTGGTGCTCCATCATGAAAGTCACCAGTTTGGTGGCTAGCAGCTCGTCCAAGTCCATCTCATCTACTGAGCCCAGAACGCAGTGAGAGAAAATCTGTACCATCTGGACAACAGACCATAACAAGTTATGGATTAGAATCCAACTCCCAGCTGCACTCTGCATTAACTAGACTCATTATATTGCACTAATATTCATGGCATACACAACATAAGCATCTGCTGAATAAATACAAAGCAACAGCACTGGAGTAAACACTCCCTTTTGAAGCTTATATTATTAGAATGTTGTATACACACAGTGTTACTGACTGGGATTGTTAAAATTCTACATGGCTTAACAAAATCCATACTTATGGTAAAATAGTCTGAGTTGCCAATAAAACAAGATTAGATGTGTTTGTTTTAGAGACTAAAAGTGGAACAAACTTGGTATACGTATTATCAAGACCAACTGACAAAAATACTATTCTTGAAAGGTAAAGAGTATATAATATAATAAATACGGATAAAAATTCTAAACTGAAGGCTCACTTTGTGTGCCTATTTCTGTAACTTATATCCAGCTTTTACTGGACCACAGTGCAGGATTGCCATAAAGACTAGAATTACAATTCTTGATGCAGGGGTAAACACAAAATACATTTTGATGGCTTCGTTATGATGGTTACATTTTTTGTCAAAGATCTTTTGTTTCTATCCTAGTTCCCCTGGAGGAGCATACCCTGTATTATTCCCCAAATAGTACAGGCTAGTGTGTCATGATTTTGTGGAAAGACTAGTGTAGTGTGAGTCTCAAACTGCTGTGGCTGGAAAGTTAGCTGTGAACGTGGAGTGATTCCTTGAATCTAGGCCGTCCTAGTTTGTTTCCATGAATAACGTTCATTCTAGTCATAGTGTACAAAAGGTGTTGAGACGGGCAGAGAAAAGAAAAACAATTCAACAGACCAAATCACCATTATGACAAACATTAAACTGCATCTAATTTGTGGACAGACTACACTTTTCCTTGTTCAGTATCTTTGCCTTCTTCACACAAGTAAATCAAATTAGCTCTTGTTCAGTTAACCAGCACTGAAGTACCTCAGTTCTTCCAAGATGATGACACTAACAATTGTTAACTTGGGTGAAGATTCAGACTACCTATTGCAAACCACCTTTTTTTCAAGGAGAGGATTCTCAACCTCCCTGAAAATGTTTCATTTACTTTTAAAGGTTAGTAAGGATTCTCAACAAACAATATTTCCTACAGTTTCTCTGTCTGCATGGTTTTTGTCCACTCTTGGAGCTTGTGTCACATTTACTTTACAAATACAACAATCATTGCACAACATTATATTTGTATTATGTTGCAATATTGTGCCCTTTCTTCGATTTCCCAACAATCCTAGACCTAACTGACCTTAATAAACCAGAGAAGTAGTACAGTGAAAAAATACAGTAATGAACTGGTAGGAATTTGTACCAGTGTGCAGGTAGCAATGGTGTCATTGAGCGGAGGCAGGTGGGGATTCTGGCAGACTCTGGCCATGAGACGTAGCAAAAGCTGTAGGCGTCTGCGGTTGGGCGGTGGCAGTAAGAGACAGCTGACTTGAAGAGCTTCAGTGGCTATCTCCTGCTCCTGCAGCAAACCTGCAGAGATAAGACGAGAGTAGAGTCCCAATCCCGAGGGCAAACATACAGCCTAGAAAAAAATGAACACCAGCAAACATGGATCTGTTGCATGTACAAATATTAGCAGCAAATTGACATAGCGAAACACTCACTGAGAATGTTGACAAAGACTTCATAAAGATGGAAAGTCAGCAAGGGTTCTTTGAGTCTGTGAAAATAATCTGCCACTGTTCTCAGAACGTCCCTCTCGAAACCTGGGTACACTGGCTGTCTGGTCTCATTGCCATTAGGCCCTGAGGAAAAAAACAAACAAACCAAAAAGACAAACACGAATCCAAATTAGTGCTCCCCACAAAAACATACAATTAACCCTGGTTAATTTGAAATGCATAGACTTAATCAAGCAAAATGGTACTCCAGAGTCTGCAAATAATAATTAATCTGTGGATAATTTTCTCAATTTATAAACTGCCAGAAAAATATTAATTTCCTAAAACCCAAAAAGAGATAGTACCAAATTGCAAACGGTCCAAAATAAATAAAAAAAAGCATTGAATCTGTCATCAAATTAGAATAGCAGCAAATCCTCATAAATGATGACAAGCTGGACCCAGGCAATATTTTGTATTGCAAGCACACACACAGGGCGTGTAAACAATACCCCAGAATGAGATATGGAGGAACTTACTCACCTTCCCTACCTGAACCTGTAGGGCAAAGTTCTGCTGTGCAGCACATTTTTATCAAAGAAGAAAGAATATAAATGCATGTTGCTGAAGAGGCAACATGCTTCAGATGTACGTTGTTACAACAGCCAAAGCGGGACATGTCATCTTTTGTCCATTTTGTGCTCTCCACTGTTCCTCATTATAAAAAGTCCTTTCAGATGTACACACAGCAGAGAAACATTAATAGAAAGGTAAAAATCTTGTTACTGCTGTCTAGTTGTATTTGCTGTAGTTGAGATGTGAAGACACATCTGTTTGACTAATCACAACAGACAGTTGCTTGTCTAATCACGTGCAGTAGCCCTGTAAACACAAACCCCTCGCTCCCTATTACTTGGGACTTGATTTAATACTACCTCTTGACGGATGCCAATACTCGTCTACAAGGCAGGCAGAATGCTATTCAGCATAACCTGTCCACCTGTTACAAGTTCAGTTACAAG